GAAGTAGTGAGTGCAAGAGCTAATGCTCCAGATCATGAGGAAGAATTTAACTTTCAAGCCAATTGTTTTCTGTGTTCTGCAATATGCGATCAGTGCTCGAAAAAACCATTTCGAATCGTCGCAACAGATAAATTGCAAGCTCACATTAACGAGTGTGTTAATAAACGTGGAGATGACTGGAATCAGGCTGTTCAACGAAGACGGAAGTCAACATCTTTACTACAGGTTCAGGCTCGCTATCATAAGCCATGTTATCATAAGTTCACGACCATCAGAGGAGCCCATGATATTAGAAGGCCTAAGGTGGCAGGGGTAGAAATAGCTTTTGATAACGTGTGCCGATATATGGAGGAGAGTGATGATTGTCAATTCTCTCTCAATGAACTGATGGAGAAGATGGAAGGATTTTCGGTCACTCCAACAACATTCAAGCAGAAACTACGCAATAAGTACAACACAGATATAACCATGTTGGAAAGTAAAGGTAAGCCCACCATTGTATGCTTTCGGGGTACAGGGTATCAAATTCTTATAAATTCCTGGTACGAGAATGAAGGCTGCTACTGCAGCTGATATCATACGACAAGATATCAGGAGCAAATTTTATGAAACATCAATCTATCCAGCTCCTCAGGATATTCTGGGTAGTGTTGTGGAGGACATTCCGGAGAGTTTGCAGATTTTTTTCAATAACGTTCTATTAAAGGGGAAGACAAATAGGGACCAGAAATTGACAACAAAACGAGATAGTATCACTCATTCTATAATATCAGCCGTACGTCCAAGATCATTCATTTCATCTATCCAATTATCTACCGGATTTCCTCTATTCACTCCTCTTCCCGAAGGCGAAGAAGTTCTGATGGAGGTCGATCAAAGAAAAAATGCTAGCAGTGACCCTGAACCATCAACTAGTAAAAAACTAGGTGTGGTCTAGTCAAAAAGTAGAGTCTTAATTATTGATTATTTTTCCTACAAAAATATAACAAATAACCTAATGAATATTTGTTTTTGCTTGCAGAGAGGAATTTCCAAACCTAACCCGGCGATGATAAATCTTCACTCCACTTCAATTGTGCTTCCGCAAGCCCGGTGATTGGAGAATTTGGCGCATAATTTAGCTTTTTTTTAATTGTTCCTTCTAAAAATTTAAACTTTCCCATTTTATTAATTATTTTTATCTCCATAGGATGTAGGTCAGCATTAAATTATAAACCGATCGTGTAGTAACAGCTAAAATTGTAAGTTGTATATAATTAATTTAGTAGAGAAAAAAAATAATAATTAATTATTAATTAATTAATGGCTTCATTGTGTTTGAATTTATCCTACGCAGAATTGTCAACTTGATCATCACATCATTCAATTTCTTTGATAAAAATTCAGAGAATAATCCTGTTCTCCCCGATTTGTAAGGATTTTTTTCTTTATAATTTATAATTATTCTAACCCATTTTATAGATTGATCTAAGGAATTATTTGTCTCTAAGATTTAATATACTCCAAATTCTATTATAAATTTCTACCATTAGATTCCCTTTCCTGTCCATCTATAATAAACGGTAATAATTATCTGAATTCTGGATATTTGAGATAATTTATTGAGTCTCATTCTATGCATATTAATGTATATTGATGTAATTATGATGATATTTTTATGAGAAGTTATGAATTAAACAATTTTTAATATTTCATAATTTATTGGATTTTTTTTTACTCGTTTGAATCTTTTGAATCTTCTGCGCATGGCGCCGATGTAAATGGGTTGCGTGCGCAACAGAGGGTCGGGCCTGGCGCTAACAGCTGATTACTTTAGGCAACTATAAATATTATGTAGTTATGAATTAATATAAAAAAACAATAACTCCTAGGGGATAAGTTCTCGCTTGTGATTCGTAGAGTTTTTCTTGCCCGACATACTGATATTTTTCTATTGTCAATT